AATAATAATAATAATAATAATAATAATAATAATAATAATAATAATAATAATAATAATAATAATAATAATAATAATAATAATAATATGGTAGCCATGATGATATCAAAACCTTGCCTTATTTTTAATGGGCACACACAAGACATGTTTAAAAAATCCACTTTTATTGCCCCATCTTGACTATTTTAACCACACCTTGGGGACACACCAGAGGTGGTATTCAGCAGGTTCTGACCGGTTCTGGAGAACCAGTAGCGGAAAGTTTGAGTAGTTCGGAGAACCGGCAAATACCGCCTCTGGCCCCGCCCCCAGCTATTCTCTGCCTCCCGTTGAGTCCCAGCTGATCGGCTGGGTCTTCTTTGGTTGCCCTGCACAGGAGAACAGAGCTGGAAAGCAGGCTAGTGGGGTGGGGAGGGAATGGGATTTTGCAGTATCCTGCCACACTACACCACACCCACCAAGCCACAATCATAGAACCAGTAGTAAACAAATTTTGAATCCCACCACTGGAACACACTGTTTGTTGTGGGGTGTGGTTTCAAGTAAATTTGTTATGCATCTTTGAGTTAATAGAAAGAGATATCCCTGAGGGATGATTAATTGTATTGGCTTCTGAAAATGAGGACTGAGATCAGATGCTGTCTGTGAATAATTGTCAGTTTATGGCATTTTTCCCCCCCAGGGTGATTAAATAGCTCCTGTGCCTTGGTCAGAGGGTCCAAATTTTTCAATCCGCTAATAAGCAGCAATATTAGAATTTATCCCAGAGAGTGTAAAGTAGCTAGCTTGAGAAAGATCAAACATCTAATTAATTTTTATGTAGGTTTCCAAATTCCATATCTTGACAATTATTATTTTTTTTAAATTAAACTTGGAAAAATAGCATACAAGGTTTGGTGTTCCCCAGAAGGCATCATTACGGAAAACCAGCACACCTTTGCTTTTTTAAATAAATCCCTTTTTGAGTTAAATCCCTCTTTTGACAATAGGAGATTATCATCCCAGCATTGCTTGCTTTGCTAAACTTAAAGCATCCTTCAGTCAACAGCAAGTGTGGTAAAGACAACTTATGTCACAATGTTCAATTCTGTGAAAGGCCTTGCATCTGTTTGTAATGAAGTACTGTCAATAAATAGCATCTAATAGACAGGTGTTCATAACAGACCGCACCCAGCTGCTAATGGACGAAATTTAAGCAAGAAAAATGGGGTGGAGTTGCCCTAATAGTTTAAACCTGGGCTTGTCAACTGGAAGGTTGGCGGCTCAAGATCCAAGTACTTAATGATAGGGTGAGCTCCCATTATGTGCCTCAGCTCCAGCCAAACTAGCAGTACAAAAGTGTGTTTCCACCTCTGCTTATCCCAGGTTCAGAGATATTGTCAGAGTGTTTGCAGCGTGACTACTATTGTGAGACAACCCAGAAACACAGCACAGCACACAGAGGCTTTGTCTTTTAACAGTGGTTTATATATAAGACTGCTATATACATA